TGTGAAGGTGATTCATATTTTTTGCTATTAAAAAAAAAAAAAACTGGATGTGGTGGCAATGGTTCAGGAGGCAGAGGTAGAAGGCTCACAAGTTTGAGGTCAGCCTCAGCATTAGTGAGGCCCTCAGCAACTTAGCAAGGCCTGTCTCAAAATAAAAATAAAGGACTGAATGTATAATTTAGTGAGTTGCTTAGGGCCTCACTAAGTTGCTGAGGCTGGCTTTGAACTCGTGGTCCTCTTGCCTCAGCCTCCCAAGCTGCTAGGATTACAGGCCTGCACCACTGCACCTGGTCTCACTGGTAAATTTTATGAAAAGCACTTATAAAAACATAAGTGTCATGTGAATTATTGTTCAGATTAGTTCAAGGAGTGTCTCCTTCATTGGGCTAGAGCAGTATGCCCTGCTTAGATTTTTACCCTTTCTTCACTTCTACTACCATTCTGTACTATTATTATTTGTGTATGTTGGGGAGGGGGTGGGTACTGGTGATTAAATTCTGCACACTACCACTGAAATATATCCCCATTCCTTCTTATTTTTTGAGACAAGTCTGAGTTACTGAGGCTGTCCTCAAACTTGATACTTTTGTCTCCACTTCCCAAGTAGCCAGGATTACAAGCATACACCACTATGCCCAACTATGTCTTTAGTGCTTATTATATATTATAGATTGACTGCCCCTTATTTAAAATGCTTGGGACCAGAAGTGTCTCAGATTTCATAGGTTTTCAGATTTTGGAATGTATAGATTTTATCAGTTGAGCTCTGTAACCCAAAAATCTGAAATTGAAATGCTTCAAAATCTGAAACAAAAAGTCTTATGATGGAGTTCAAAAAGTTTCCAATTTCCCAGCCATTTCAGATTTTAGGTTTTTGGACTCAGGGTGGTCAACCTGTAATTTACTTTTGCTTTGTTTCTTGCTTTATAAATCAGTTTAAATTTTTGTGATTCTCATTTAGGATTCCTTATCTAGGTTAAAATATAATCCTTTGCTTTCCCTCTAGGTCAATGACAAAAAAATCTGTTTTTATTACTAATCTCTTATTATTCTGTGTTGTCTAGGTAGTACAGAGCTGACAGGCAGCACCAATCTGATCACACATTACAACTTGGAACATGACTATAATAAATTCTGTGGAAAGAAGGTGAAGGAGAAGCTAAGTAATTTCCTGCCTGACTTGCCAGGGATGATTGATCTGCCTGGTTCCCATGATAACAGCAGCCTCCGTTCCCTCATTGAGAAGCCACCTATTCTTGGTGGCTCTTTTAATCCTATCACAGGGACCATGCTCTCTGGCTTCCGCCTCCATACTGGCCCGGTGAGTCCTCTCTTGGGGAGGAGAAAGACAAATGATGATGAGACCTAAGACGCATGGAGGTGGCTTTTCTGTTCAAGTCTGTTCCTTCATAATTTACTAAGCAGAATAGATGACAGGAGCAGGGCATTTCCTCTTAGTCATCTGGCCCTTCCTTTGGTTCTTTCAGTTGCCCGAGCAGTGTCGTCTGATGCACATTCAGCCTCCCAAGAAGAAGAATAAACACAAACACAAACAGAGCCGTACCCAGGATCCTGTCCCCCCAGGTAAGAAGCAATTCTATTCAAAAGCAAGAAAATGTGACCTTCTCAATCTGGTTTGGCCTTCCAGTTAATCCCAGTTAGTTTCCTACAAGAGTGTGGACTCTTAAATCTCCTGAAGATGATGACTGATATTCTGGGGTCTCTTGGGCAAACATTGACTTGGGAGAGGGTCTTTAGCAGCACTTTGTTCTTCCTGGCCATTTAGAAAAAAGCATTTGCCCCTGACTTGAGGTTTTGCTGTAGCCTTCAGAGTTCATAGCAGTAGAGGATTTTGAGCTGTAGAGGTGATAAGCATCTAATGTCACCTTACAGAAACACCATCTGATTCGGATCACAAAAAGAAGAAAAAGAAAAAAGAAGAGGATCCTGATAGGAAAAGGAAGAAGAAAGAAAAGAAGAAAAAGAAGGTAGGGTGGAGGCCTGTTGCTACAGCCCAATGAGTTTCCTTATATTTCACCCTGTCCTAAAGATTTTATCCTTTGCTTGAAGTTGACCTAAGATTGAAAACGCAAGACGTTTTTTTTCTTACATAGCACTGGTCAAGGCCAAGATAGTTCCTAAATGTTTTTACCCTTTCTTTGTCTCCCTCAGAACCGACATAGTCCAGACCATCCAGGTATGGGCAGCTCCCAGGCCAGCAGCAGCAGCAGCCTCCGTTAACAGAATCACTGGACTCTGGCTTTTCCTGCAGTACTGAATCTGCTAACAAAAGCTATCTTCCAGGCTCTTGGGATGCTGCTTTGAGAGCATCCAGCAGTGTGGACAGAGACCAGCTCCTGCTGTACTTTATTAAGAATAATACATTAGAAGAGAGAAGGGCATGTAAGGCTCAGCCCTGTTGGCTTTCTCATGGACATCTCTTCCTCTCCCAGGAAGCTTCCTATTTCTTTTCTCTCCTGTGCAATTTGTCTGATTTCAGGACTTGGTTTGTTAGGATTTTTCGTAAAAAAAAAAAAAAAAAAAAAAAAAAAAATTTTTTTAATTTATCAAACTGACTGAAGTGTGGCTGCCTGTTAAGAGGTAAGTGCCTTTCTGTGAAAGTAAGGGTTTAAAAAGCATTGCTAAGATCAGAAGGGACTTGAGTCTTGTCATTACATGATCTCGTTAGCAGAGAAACAATGAAAATTAAACAAGGAAAATGGTCCCCAGTGGAAAAAAGTGAGGCAGTGCTTGCTAATACTTTCCATAGCAAACACATAACAGGATAAACCAAGTGCTTGGATAAATCTTCATGCTCCATCTGAACAGTTGAACCAATTAGGGGGTCAACAGTGTGCTCCAGGTCTATTTTATTTTGAAATAAATTAGCCAACTAAAAAGGCATCCACAATCACCAGTGTATTTCAGCAAGATTGGTTTTTAGTCAGAAGCCTATGATTTTTTTGAAATGAACCTCTGGGAGGAAAGGCAAATGCTTCTGGTCTTTTTTTTTTTTTAAATATTTACTTTTTAGTTATAAGTGGACACAATATTTTATTTTTATGTGTTGCTGAGGATCCAACCCAGTGCCTCCCGAATATAAGGGGAGTGCTCTACCTCTGACCTACAACCTCAGCCCACTTCTAGTCTTTTTTAAAAAATAATTTCACCTGCTTCTTTCCTTAGTTAGGAATTGGAATTATTTGGCTGCTTTGAAAACACTTCCAAGTTTCTAATATAGCAACAATAAAGGCAGCCTAAAATAGCCATCAAGTTGTAAAATAGCCAGGCACAGTGACACATGCCTGGAATCCCAGCTTCTTAGAAGGCAGGAGGATCACGATTTTGAGGCCAGCTTGGGCAATTCAGTGAGACCCTGTAAAAATGGTTGGGGATGTACCTCAGTGGTAGAATACTTGCATAAGATACGAGAGGCCCTGGTTCAATCCCTAGAGCCTCAAAAAGGGAGAGGGGGTTGGTTTTGGTTTTCTTTTGGGGATGGGGGTGGGCACTAGGGATTGAACCCAGGGGCACATTACCACTGAGTCATATCCCCAGCTCCACCCCTTTTAAAATATTTTTTAATTGTATTTAGACACAATACCTTTATTTTATTTATTTTTATGTGGTGCTGAAGCTTGAACCCAGTGCCTCACACGTGCTAGGCGAGCACTCTACTGCTGAGCCACAACCCCAGTCCCCCTTTTTGAGGCAGGGTCTTACTAAATTGCTGTGGTTGGCCTTGAACTTGTGATCCTCCTACCTCAGCCTCCAGAGTTGGGAGGATAACAGTGTGCAGCACTGACCTGAAGTAATGTCTGATAAAACAGTTAAAATCAGTTAATATGAACCAGATCTCTGAGTAAAAAACCACTCATTCAATTCCCTTCAGGAAAGAGTTGATGCTACAGAGTGAGTGAAAACAGGGTTCTGGCCTGTTTCTTGAAATCTAGTGTCTGAAGACGATTATTTAAAATTAGGGCACCATCCTTTGCTTTTGACAAATAGAAGACAATGTGTGTTAATTGGTTGACCTGCCACCCATATCCAGTCAACCTGCATTCATACTGTCTTACATTTGGCTGTATCCAAAAGGAACCTTATTTTCAGAGACAAACAACAACTGTGACAAGAGTTCCCTAAGCTTTGAAATGACAAGGTTTTTGTAGTTGCAAAGTTTCACCCAAATAAAAACAGGAGCTGCTGTTATATGTAAATTTCTTTATGTCCAGCTTAAAGATGGCTGAGACCAGAGAAGCAGATGAGGTTTTCTTTGTGATGACTTCCCACCAGAGATCATTCACCCTACTTTAACCAGACAAAACACAAGTCAGTGGGAGCTGGTTAGATCAGGATTTCTTTTTATTCCTTGTTGGTTTAAAATGGCTAATCAGAATAAAAAATAAAAGGTCCTCTGTGTAGAGGTTGGGGTCTTCCCTATTTAGAGGTCAGAACCCAGGTATCCCCTCTACCCAGCACCATACTTAGATGGGCTGAGGGGTAACCCCTAAGGGATACTCGGAGGGGCCTAGGCCTGTCACTCCTTTGCTCTATCCCATTTTTGGCATGTGATGAAAAATATTGCTTTTTTTCTTTCCTGGCCTTCTTTGATTTTTAAATCACGTCAACCATGTAAGCTAGGGGGAAGTTATGAGGGGCTCACTGAAGAAGCCACTCTAAATCCCTCTCCCCCAAGAAGGGGGATTATCCGGTATTATTTTTTGAGCTAGGTCAAGTTCTCTTCCTGATCCTCCTCCTCCACCTCCACCACCATCACCACCACCACCACCACCAGTGTCATGGAGCTCTGACCCCTCCTGGGGAAATTAAATGCCAATGAACATTGAAAGCTAGCTCTCTCCAAGTCTGTTCTGACCAAGATCCCAGACTCACCTCTCCCCAGGTTTCTTTCCTAATAAACACCAACAGGGGGTGCTATTTCCTTAGTTGGTAACTGGGACAAGAGGGAACCATGGGAAAAAAGGAAGACCTGGATGTCTCTTTTCCTGCTGGTCTGAGGAAAGGGGAAAGGTAGAATCTCCCCTCCTTTGTGTATCCCTCCCTCATTTTCCCATCCCAGGATAGATATATAATTTCTTTGATATTTATAATATATATATATATATATATGTACACACACACCTGGTAACGCAGAAGAGGAAAAAAATAGAATCCGTAACAATAATAAAAAAAATTATTTCTGGTTTTAAAAATGATCTGGTTCCCTCCAGGGCGAGCAATTGCACAAATGTCCACTGAGTCTGGTCCAGGGATTAAGGAAGGGAAGGTCTTAGAAGGTAAAAGGGGATTGCTACCCCAGTCTCAGGGCCCCAACTCTCCAACTCCCCAGCCCCACTGCATTTTATAAAACGCACCTCATCTCCTTGGAATCAGTGGTTTAAAAAATGTCCATGCAGGGGAGGGGAGCCCCTTGAGGGAAGGAAGGTGGCCACCTGGGGCCCTTTGGTGTAGGCGCAGAGACGGGGGAGGAGAGTCGCCGAAGGCTCACACCGAAATCTCATAGGTGGTACCACCCACCCCTGACACCTTCTTGACTCCTCCCCTTGTGGGGCTACTGAGAGGTGGCTGGCCTGGGCCAGAAGAGGATGAGCCTATGTTCTTGGGCTGCCCATTGGATTTGCTGTAGGCGGTCTTGAGCTGTACTTCATCTCTGGGAAGGAAAGAAAAAGCAGTTGTCAGGAAGTGGGGCATAAAATACAGGTAAGGTAAACAGTTTAAAATTTGGTTAAGAGGAAAACAAATGCACTTTTCTCTATGTATTTTTGTTATTCAAATAATCTCTCATTTTATTGCCATGCTTAAAATAGGCTGATTCCCTATATCCCTATTCACTCTAATAGCAGCTATCTTATATACTGATCCTCAGAATATTTTTATAAAACAGCATTAGTATTAATCTTCAGTTTCTTAGGGAGGAAATATCCAAAGGAAGCTGGAATGAATGAAAATGAGGAGCTATCAGGGATGCCCTTGGGTACACACATTAGAATGCACTGGCAAAGCCCTGATACCTTATGCATGGTGCTATGCTAATTTTAAGTTGGCTGAGGTTCAGGGTGGTACAAGTACTTACTTGGGTGTCAGTAATGGCTGCAAGGCCACTTCCTCTGTCTCAGAGACACCGGGTGGGGCTTTTTGGCTGCTGTAAGACATGGATCGGCCCAGGTATGGGGCAGTTGGGCCTGGTTCAGGGGATCCTAACCCCCGGCCCCTTAGCCCATCTGGTTTGCCAAAACGGGGGACTGCTGGGCGTGCCAGTGGAGTCTTGCCTAAGGGTGATCTCTTTGAATCATCTGAGGATGAACTAGTACGAGGAGCATGGCCTGAGCCTGGTGTTGACTGAATGCCTGAGTCCCCCAAGCCTGGTTCTTCCTCACGGCCTGGTAGTGGGGGTGACTGGCGCAGCAGCTTCTCTCGTTCCTGGAGGGAGGCCACAATATGGCGTGACAGATTGTCGTAACGGACTGGTGAGGGCTCTCGGTGTGTTGGGCCGGTTGGCACCAAACGTGGGTGCCTCTCGGCTTCCCGTTGCTGGGCCAGCCGGGCTGACAGGAAAGGAGAGGTGTAGCCTAAAGGCGGGTCTGGCTCAGGCCCTGCCTGCACTGACTCGAAATCAGGACTGTCTGAAGGAGTGAGTAGGCTGTCATAAGATAGGCTTCCATTGCGTGTCTGGTTGGCCAGGCTCTTGTAGGAGGTGGAGGTGGTGCCTTCTGAACGAATGGACTGCAACTGTCCCAGCTCAAAACCTGTGCCCTGGGCTGACTTGAGGCTGGAGGAGCGCGAACCACTGGATAGGGGATCGAAGTGAAAGCTTTTGCCAAAGGTGGGAGAACGGAAACTCTCTGGTTCCAAGCTGGGCTCTGAACGATAGCTGGGATGGCGACTGCTTTCTGCAATTGAGTTTGGCTCCTTTAAGCTGTCCCCACGACTTAACTAAGGAAGAAAGTAAAACAAACTTAGTGCTCCTCTGTGACTAATACTAGATCCCAGAGCCAAAAGAGTCAAGAATGGAATTATATGCCAGTAGTATGCTTAGAACTTCTACATGCATTATTTGGTTTAACTCCTTAACTCAGATATATAAACTGGAATAAATAATCTCTCATTTTAAGATGCAGAAAATGAGGCTTGGAGAAGGTATAAGTAAGTAACTTGCTTATGATGGCAGAATTAGGTTTTGGAATCAGATCCGACCACTATAATCGATGCTATATGATAACATGTAGCTCCTTCTTTGATAAAGGACACACTATCAAGGAAATTCAGTTCTACTAAGGCCAACAATTCATAAAATATCTTCCATTTCTTCTCTTCCCTTCTGCCTTTTCCTTCTCACCAGCTTGTTTTTTCCCCCAAAGAGTTGGTGTATATTACAACCCCACTTCTAGAGTACACAGTACCTTGGCGCTGGAGGAATGAGGCATGGCGGCTGATGTGCTGCTGCTACTGTAACCTGGCCGATACTTGTACATGGTAGGTGTTGGGGGGCTATCTTTGCCCAAGAGGCTGCTATCTGCAGGTAGAAAAGCCCAGGAAAAACACTTATAAGCTATTTTCTTAATATTCCTAGGGTTCCTTAAAATATGGAGGAAGGAGAAAATAAGAACAGACAGATATACCCAGCAAAAGAAAAACTCTAAGGAACGTAATTTTGCTGAAATCAAGAGTAAGTACTCGCTGGAGCCAGGCTCATGCTACTCAGGAGGCTGAAGCAGAAGGATTGCAAGTTCAAGGGTAGCCTCAGCAACTTACGCCCTAAGCAACTTAGCAAGACCTTGTCTCAAAATAAAAAATTTAGGGAGGCTGAGACAGGAGGATCTCGAGTTCAAAGGCAGCCTCAGCAATGATGAGGTGCTAAGCAACTCAGTGAGACCCTGTCTCTAAATAAAAAATACAAAATAGGGCTGGGGATGTGGCACAGTGGTTGAGTGCCCCCGAGTTCAATCCCAGGTACTAAATAAATAAATAAATAAATAATTTAAAAATGGGTTGGGAGCATAGCACAGTGGTAAAGCACCCCTAGGTTCAACCCTAGTAACACACATACATACACACACACACACACACACACCTGTACAATCCTACTGAGGGAGGCTGAGGCAGGAAAATTTCAAAGTCAAGGCCAATCAAAGCTAGATCCTGTCTCAAAATTTTTAAAAAGGACTAGGAATATAGTTCAGTGTACAATACCCATTAGGTTCAACCCAGTACTGGGGGGGGGAGGGTAACAGTCCAGAACTCAAAGTGGGTGAATATACCAAACAGGTCCTAGGAAACACACTGATCTGTCTAGAAGTTGACATTTCCCCCACAAAAATCCAGTTCACTGCCAACTTGCTAAATGGCATCCTTCCTCTTCCAGCTATTCAAAGAAAGCTGCAATATTACTATTTCCTGTTGGGTGTTCTTAGTCACAACACAAGTAGAATCTCCCAGCCTTTACTTGTTTTCTTTATGTCTTACAGAAGTAACCTCATACCAGTCTTCTAGTTCTAGGATCTCATAGATCAAGGAAGCACTTACCCTCATTAGTAGCTAGGCTGAGGTGTGTTCGCAGCCCTGTGTAACGGCTCAGGTCCGGCTTAGGAGGAGGTGGAGGTTCTGCATCTGCAGACTGACTCTCTGTTATCTCCAGGCTGCCCTTAGACTAGAAAATTATGGTAGGTAAAATCAGATTTGAAGAACTGGTCATTTGGTTAACTCAAAGTACTAAATTTGCATAAGAGGTACTGGAAAGTCAATTATATGTTTCTATGGGAATGGAAGACAAAGCACAAGAGTCAGTATGGGGACAGTTTTGGACAAAGTGTTCAACAAGAACTTAATTCTGTCATGTATTTGTTCATTTCAACCAACAATTGCTTGCTGAGCTTCTACCATCTGCAAGCTGTGAAATCCTATGAAGACAGGGAAATGAACAAGTTCAATTTCTATTGTCACAAAGTCCAATGAAGAAAAGATTTGTATCTAAGTGATTTTAACACAAATCAGTGATTCTAAAAGGAAGATGTAAACCAAAAGCAAGTTCCCGTCTCTTTGCCATGAGAGCGATATCCCCAAGTTACCTAGTTTTACTTCCCAAAACTCCTCACCTTAGTTCTCCTCAGCTCTCCCTGGATGCCATTGTCCATGATCTTCACAGTTATCTGCCCATCTGACACTTCCGGCCGAAGAAAAGGAGGTCTGATTACAATGGTCTTTTCTTTCTTTGGTCTCCCCAAATACCTAAGTGTAAAGAGAGAAGGCTTTCATTTACTCACTTAAAAATATCTACTGGGGCTGGGGTTGTGGCTCAGTGGTAGAGTGCTCACCTAGCACATTCGAGGTGCTGGGTTTAATCCTCAGCACCACATAAAAATAAATAAATGTATTATGTCCAACTTAAAAAAAAAATCTACTGATTGCCTATTGTGTGTGATGTATTTACAAGAAACATTCCTGGGGATGTAGATCAGTGAATAGACTACATGGCTCTAGGTTCAATTCCCCCCAGAAACTCCCCCCCCCAAAAAAAAAGTTCCTAGTAGGTCAAGAAAAAAGTTAGCCCTAAATCAATTTATTAAATTCCATAACACAGCAAGACTTAAAAGACTACGACTTTATGAGCAGGGACCCAGCTCGTGGTACTCTAGTCAAAATCTTATTCATCTTGAAGCCTCAAAGGAATTTACCTCAAGCATATCAACTGAACTCACAGAGTCCATGTAAGCATAGGTATGTCTGTCTCTTGCAGTGATGTCCCTTTTTAACACAGAAAACCCTTCTTAAAAGGCCATCTCCCACCAGTCTTTCCCCATACCAGATTAAGCCCAAAGGAGACAAAAGTCTGAGAGTTAACTTTAGTCAAAACAGTTAGAAATACCTGGGTGCTGGAGAACTGCAGAGTACACGGCTGACATTGTTACAACAGCCATTGGTGAAGGGGTTCACACCTCCCCGGAATTTACCCGTAACCTAGACAGAGGAAAAAAGGACCCAATCAGACAATTATGGAACCTTGATCCCAAAAGCCAAAACAAACTGACAGAAAATTATTAGGCACCCATTATCTGGGAGATACAAAAATGACTAAAACACAAATCTACCATCAAGAAGTTTATACTTTTGATGGTTCAAACATAGGTCTATGTCATGATAGCTGGCTATCAGTTTACGTATGTAAAATGGGGCAAGTAGCTTTCTGAATACTGAACAATAAAATAATTCACCGATGCTCAAGTACTTTAATAAAATGGCACAGTATCTGCACATAATCCCTGCATATCTCATATGTTCTAAATCATCTCTTGATTACTTTTCTAATACACTGTAAATATTGTGTCAAGTTATTGCATTATTTAGGGAATAATGTCAAAAAAAGTCTATATTTAGTGTGCAGACATTTTTTTCCCCAATTATATTCCATCTGGGGTTAGCTGAATTCACAGATACAGAACCCACAGATATAGAGAACAGACTATCCAAGAGTAAGCACTTATAATTAGCTACTTTTATATGCCCAATTTTTTTTTTTTTCCCATTAAGCAGCATTATACACTCCTCAAGGGCTGGCCCAACTCTTTTACTGTTTTTTATAAACTCAGAGCCTAAATTGTGTAGTACACAAATGTGAACTAAGAAATGACCTCTGTTCTCATGCTCATTAAGAAAACAGCCCTATCTCACCTCCTACCACTAATCTCTGAATTATAATAAAAAGTAATCATTAAGCCTCAACTTGTAGAAATATTATGCTACACTCTCATCAGAGGGCTTAAGACATGCCCTGCTCTTTAGGGATTTTCTGTCACTTTTCCCTATACCTGTTCATTGGTTGTGCGTCCCCTAGCCACCAGCACCACATGAAATCCTGTGAGTCCAGCGACTGGGATGAAGAATAAGCCAGCCACACACATCACTGCCATTCTGTTGCCAAACAGTCAAGGAAAACAGCAATGTGATCTTGCCTTCCTTAACCACCCTACTGTAGTTATTTTCCCTTTGACTGTCACTACCACAGGATTCTACTTTTCTCATTCCTCCCTATGCCAGAGTTCCACAACCCAAAGTTCTTGAAGGATACGTGACAGCTGTGTGGACCCCTGAGAGTTCCTTTATGTGGTAAAGGACATAAAGGAGGCCAAAGCCAAACACCCCCATTATGTGTGCTGTCAGGGAAAGGAGGAAGAGGAAGAAATAACGGTAGTTCCGGCGACCAATACAGTTGTTCACCCAGGGGCAGTGATGATCAAATTCCTAGAGGCAAAAACAGACACTGAGAGGCATCCTTGGACCACAGGACTAGATCACTTCTGTCAGAAGAGGAACAAAAGGCAGAACTTGAGTTTTACTTTTAGTAATTTATGATCATGTTCACCATTTATTTGCAAAATTAAAAACAGGCTCAAGCAATTTCTCTTGCTCTATATTATCTGTAAGAGAGACCGTTTGGAGTTTGGTCAAAGGCAAAGGCCAAGCCAGGTGTCGCTGCTCAATCCCAACAATTTGGGAGGCTGAGGCAGGAGGATTTCAAGTTCAAGGCCAGCCTGGGAGCAGCAAGACCCTGTCTCAAATAACAGATAAAAAGGGCTAGGATGTGGTTCAGTGATAAAATGTCCCTGGACTCAATTTCCTAACACACACACACACACAAAAAAAAAGCCAAAAGTTTATCCAATGTGACCAAGGAACTTCCCAAAAAGGATAAACATCAAAGCCTTGGCAAAACATTTAAGATTCATAAGAGACTTTGGAAAGAAAGTATGGCAGGTAAATTCTTACAGTAAATAATAAGGAATTGGAAACAAGAGATAAAAAGATAAGTGACAAGGGAGGACAGCTGAGAGGAAAAATCTAACAAAAATTGGAATGCAAGCCAGGCATAGTGGGGCATACCTATAATCCCAGCAATTTGGGAGACTAATGGAGTAGAATCACAAAGGTCAGACTGGGCAATTAAGTGAAACCCTGTCTCAAAGAATAAAAGCTGGGATGTAGCTCAGTGGTTCAATCCCTTGTCTCGCAAATACAAAATTTAATGCAATGACATGATTTTATGGAAGCAAAAAATAACACAAAGCCAGGACAAAGATGAGCCAAGGGATGGAAAGCTGGAGCTATGAATCTTATGTTGAAAAAAAATTATATTCAACTAGGATAAAGCTTCCCTCCTGAAATGACAAGAGTATTCCTATTCTGTTTCTCATGTACTTACTTCATTGCTAACACCTTTTAACAGAGCTAGACAGAGAGCCAAAGCAAAATTATACTTTATCTAAGGCCAAGAATCTATTCTGTGGTTAGGATGAAAACAACTTAGGCTAAGCACTAAGTCTTACTCCACCTAGACTCTTACCTCCACACAATTGTCACAGACACTGCAGTGGGAACATCGAGGAGGACGGTAGAAGCGGCAAGTGGCACACCATTTCATGCGCACCTGGATGCCCTTGATCTCCACTGTTTTGTAAAGGGGAGCTCGGAAATCATCTTCCTTGTCCTCATCCTCTTCAGCTATAGAGAGGAAAAAATCAGTTATAAAACAACTATGCCAAAACTATTGTAAGCACTAGGGTTTAAAATATGGCTTATACTTTTGAGGAATTCATAGTCTAATGCATGAGAGAGACTAGGAACTTAATAGAGTTTGATTAATAGTTCAATATCTACAAGTACACGACTGAATGACAGTGATCCAAGAAAGGTAACATTAATTTTTTTCCCACATACAAATCCCCTGCCCTAAATGTTTTCCCCTACTCTATTAATGGTGATTTTTTTTTTCCTCCCAGTAGTGTTGTTCTAGCCCTGAGTTGCCACAGGCTTGCACGATAGTACCTCACTCAAAATGTTCATTTATTATTTTTATTTATAGATTTACTTTTGGTGGTGCTGGGGATTGAACCCAGGGCCTCACACACGCCAGATAAGTGCTCTACCACTGAGCTACACTACAGCTCCAAATCTTTACTTTAAATCAAGAGTTTTTCTTTTGAAGGGAAAAAATTCAAATGCTAGTTATTTTGACACACCTGATTCTTCCACACCATCATCTAACAGAAATTAACTCTTTCTTTTTGTAATAGCTCTTTGGTTATTCTTGTAACTTATCATATAGTGTATTTATATAAATGTTGGAGATGTAGCTTAGTGGTAGAGTGCTTATTTAGCACACTTGAGGCCCTGCATTCCATTCCCAGCACAATAAACAAACAAATAAATAAATATCTTCTACCTTCCCTTCTAGACTGAGCTATTTAATTTGCTTTGTTTTGTTTTGCTTTTGTACTGGAAATGGAACCCATGGGCACTTTACCTCTGAGTCACATGCCAGCCCCATACCCCCACCATTTTTTTCCATTTTGGGACAGGGTCTCAATATGCTTAGGGCCTCACTATATTGCTGAGGCTGGCCTCAAACTTGTGATCTTCCTGCCTCAGCCTCCCAAACTGCTAAGATTACAGGCATACATCCCCACACCTAGCTTAGACTGAGCTATTTAAAAACAATGACATTTTTTTTCTTATTCTAGGAACTGAACTAGGGTGCTGCTCTACCACTCAGCTACATCTCAGCCCTTTTTATTTTACTTTAAGACAGGACCTCAACAAGTTGCTGGGGTTGGCTTCAACTTGTGATCCTCCTGCTTCAAGCCTTTCAAGGTGCTGGGATTACAAGCATGTGCCACTGTGCCTAGCTGAAAGCAATGACATTTTAAAAGAAATCATCCCAAATGATCATTGTCATGACTTCCATATAATAGATCACTAAATATTTGATGAATGAGCATTAAAGGCTCACTAAAATAGCCCTCCTTGCCTTTAGGGACACCAAGTTCCTTCCTCTCACAAGTCACAAATGATGAAATTAATCACACTGATGCAGGCTCTTGGAGCACAATGAATTCCAGAAAAACCTCATCTCACAGTTGCTATCCCAACCCCAAGTGTCTGGCTCTTACAAAATAACCTATCATTTAAGAGGAAAAATTAGATATCCTCAGTAATCTCTGTCAACTTCTCTTCCCTTCACCTCTTATTCCACTCATGATGGTTCTTACTCTCACCTATCCCAGGAACAGCCTCCTTCTCCTGTATGTATAACCTTCCAATATGCACTAGAAAACATCTCCTCTCTCTACAAATTCACTCTCTTTTTCTGGTCCAATCTCCTCATCCTACAAACATGTTAAAAAGTCTTCTGTATCCTAAAATTCTTTCTTCTCCTGTAAGATATTATTCCATTTCTGCCTTCTTTGCTTACTTCTTGAAAGTGGAATTTTAGTACTGACACTCCTTCCTCATTTCTCATTAACTGCCTTCCAAACCATTCTTCATGATACACACACTATTAGGACTAGCATTGTTAAGATCAATTATTTCTTAATTACCAAAACAATGAGAAGTTGTGTGTTTTCATACTTTTGATCTCTCAATTTCTGGTACTACCAATCACTGCTACTTCATGAACTTTCCTTAGCTCCCACTTTGTCCTCTTTATCATTCTTGTTCAATCTCTCTTCAATGGGTGCTCCTTTCCCTCTGCTCATTACATCATTGTCAGTGCTGATCAGGTCTAATCTTGGTTCTTTGTAATCTCACTCTATTTTCTCTAGACAATTTTCTTCTGTTGCTTCAAATACCACAAGGCTGAAGATTCCTAAATCAAGGTCTTTGTCTACTAAATTGCCTAACTCTACTTGGATGATCTATAACTATCTCAAATTCAATATGTCTGGAGTTGGGAGCATAACACAGAAGTAGACCACTTGCCTAGCATAGCAAGGCCCTGAGTTCCATCATCAGCATAGGGAAAAAACAAAACAGTATGCTGAGAGTGCTTTGTCTTCCCTTCAAACTTGTTCAACATTCCTATCTCATATTATAGTTTATAAAATTAACATCCAATTTATCCCATAAGTTAGGAACCTTGAAATTACTCTAAGATAATTCATTCATCCTTTCCAATTCAAGTACTAACTAGTTCCAACCCTGTTTGGCTTCCAAGATCAGGCACACTCAGAGTGGCATGGTAGTAGATTCTTTTACCCTTTCACTCTGCCCCAGTAACCTGTCATGAACAATTCTGGTGACTTTACATCTGAAAATTTTGTACATCTAGTCATGAATTCAAGTTCTCCTCTAGTTTATATTATTGTCACGCCCACCCAATGTATATCTGTACATTCGTATAAGAATTATTACTATTATTATTATTATTATTTAGTTGTATTTTGTTTATTTATTTATTTTATGTGGTGCAGGGGATCAAATGCAGTGTCTCATGCGTGCTAGGCAAGCGCTCTACCACTGAGCCACAACCCAAGCCCAAGAATTATTTTTGTAAAAGGAAATCAGATCCCATGATACCTCCAATTAAAGACTTCTAGCTAGGCACAGTGGCAGATTCTTGTAATACCAGCAGCTCAGGAGACTGAGGCAGGAGGATTGCAAGTTCAAAGCAAGCCTCAGCAATTTAGCAACACCCTAAGCAACTAAGCAAGATCCTGTCTAAATAAATTATTAAAAAAGGGCTGGGGTCAAAAAACCAAAGGATTTTTAATCTTGGTTCTTTTGTAATATCACCCTCTTTTCTCTAGACAATCTTTCTCCTGTTGCTTCAAATACCATATAGCTGAAGATTCTTAAATCAAAGTCTTTTGTCTACTAAACTGCCCACTTAATTAATTAATTCTACCTGGATGACTGATAACTACCTCAAATTCAATATGTCTGGAGCTGGGGAGTATAACATAGTAATAGACCACTTGCCTATTAGGCCCCGAGTTCCATCACCAGCACGGGGGAAAAAAAACAGTATGTCTGAGAGTGCTTTGTCAAAAAAACCAAGGTTTTTTCTAATATGTGGATGCTGATCCATAATGCGGATGAGGGGCAGAGCATGGGAGGAATGGAGGAACTTTAGATAGGGCAAAGGGGAGGAGAGGGGAAGGGAGGGGGCATGGAGGGAGGAGAGATGGTGGAATGGGATGGGACATCATTACTCTAAGTACATGTATGAAGACACGAATGGTATGACTCTACTTTGTGTACAACCAGAGACATGAAAAATGGTGCTCTATATGTGTAGAATGAATTGAAATGCATTCTGCTATCATGTATTACATAAGTAGAATGAATGAATGAATAAATGAATGAATGAATAAAAGGGCTGGGGATGAGGTTCAGTGGTTAAGTGCCCCTGAGTAGCAAAAAAAAAAAAAAAAAAAAAAGGTAGAAGACTTCTCACTGTCAAAGGAAGAAGGGAAGAATTCTTGTACCATCTATTTAATTGAACATAAATCATTTAATTGAGCATATCAAGTCGTTCCCAACTTAGTTCTGGGTTTATCACCTACTTCTTCTGGTGCCACTATCACTAAATGCTCCATTCCCACTGAGTTCTTCATTTGATGGCTACAGCTTCTGTATATGCCGCTTCTTTGATCTAAAAATGCCCCTCCTTCCATCTTCTACTTTTAGCAGCATTTCCCCCAATTTCTCTGGACAGATATCACTTTACCTTTTCTATGTTCTTATGGAACTTTGTTCATGCCTCCTTTATAGTTGCATCGAACTAAAATAATCTAACTTATCATGGGCATTACCTAGCAACATCACCTAACCCATATGCTCTAAATTTCTGCTGAGGCTGGGCACAGTGGTACACACCTATGATACCAACTACTCAGGAGGCTGAGGCAGGAGGATCTCGAGTTCAAGGCAAGCCTAGGCAACTTAACCCTGTCTCAAAAAAAAAAAATTTTTTTTTTAAAGGGCTAGGTATGTAGCACAGTGGCAAGAACATCCCTGAGTTCAATCCCCAGTAAGAGGGGTGGAGGGGGAATTCTGCTGAATGAATAACTAAAACTCAGAGATCTGATCCAAAGTAAACCAAATGGTTAGAAGTTATGACATTTATTCTTGACCTGCTTTTCATCAGACTATAAAAGTATTCCATATTCCTAGGACTCTAAAGGCTCAAGATCAACCATGTCTGCCCAAATAATTATGTTTTAAAAGCAACAAGGAGTTGCCAAGAGAGGAGAGCTCTTACCTCGAGGGAAAATCCCTGGGTCCATGAAAGTGGCCATGCTGAAGTTGGCCAGCACAAAGAGAAACATAATCGCATTGTAGATGGGCACTGCAGGTGACACAGACAGGCTTAGTCCTGGACACCTACACAAATAATAAAGAAGATGAGGGGCTGCCTCTAACATTTGAAAACAATTATTCGAAGCTCTGTGAAGATTCAGCCTCCATACCATACATAAATCTTACATGGTTTATCTTTACCATTTGAAATTATTGTCTCTTTCCTTCCCACCAAGTCCATTTCCCGAGGAACTGCTCATTTTAGATCAAGATATGAGACATAGAATTTGTCCTATCTTAACCCCCTGCAGTGAGGTCTAGTTCTTTAGATTCATTATTCCCCAGAGGTCTGTCCACATGTTTTGGAATGTGGACTTATCTCCTTTTTAACAAGACTTGAGAACTAGGGACTGACTATGTAACTGATACCAGCTACATTCCTTTCTCTGAAGGAGCCTGAGGCTTCTGGATCCCAGCCATGTCCCACTAACCTGCACACTGACCCAAAACATGAGATTCCACCTGCTTTCTGGCTTACCTCCATGCTTCCCAACTGGCTGTAAACCACTCTCAACTGCCTAATGTTTCTCCCTGGTGTCAGTTATTCCCAAGAGCTTTATTCAGTGCTAGTCCCCTACACTGGGAAATTTTAAAAAACACAAAGATGGTTATATCAAGATAGAACTAGACCCACCTTTGACATCTGAAAATGGAGCAAAGAAGTGGGGAAGGAAAAAATAGAGCATATCAGACCAAAGAAGCCCTAAATCCTATAGAAAAATAAACTAGCCAAACATCCAGTATTCCACAACATTCAAATCAAGAAACTGCAATAGATAACTGCTTTAGATAACACAAGAATGCTTCTATCCAAGGTTAAGCTCAGGTCTTTCAGGATAAGTCTAAGTAGAAGCACTTCAGGATTCCTCCTTTCTCTGCTCATTTCCTAAGAGTTCAAAGTTTCATAAAAACTTTTGATGTGAGCCTTGCTTTGTTAGGAGTTTCACACACTCTCTTCTCCTGTCTCAGCCAAGGGAGAACTTCCCTTTATAAGACAGTGGCTAAATGCCCTAATCTACTTTGTAGCTGAGAACTTAATCACCAGAATCAGGACAGAGTATGTCCTTGTCCCCTTTATCTGGACCAGGCAGAAGAAAAGAAGAGCTCACTGAAAGAAAGGAAGAAGGGTTATGAGAGTGAGAGTATATGAGTCTGAAGACCTAATCCACAGCAGTGCTGGATTCTGTCAAGAAAGGTGTTCTGTCCCCCATCATGACAAAAAGCAAAGCACTCCAGAGTGATTCAGGACAGTTATAAGACCAAAAATAAGAGACAAAACTGTCACAAAGCACCTCACAAATCTTTACTACCAGTATCTATTTTTTCCAATTCTACTCAGCCATTCATTTAAAAAATTTTTAAAGAACAGACCCTCAGGGGCTGGGGATGTGGCTCAAGCGGTAGCGCGCTCGCCTGGCATGCGTGCGGCCCGGGTTCGATCCTCAGCACCACATACCAACAAAGATGTTGTGTCTGCCGAGAACTAAAAGATAAATATTAAAAATTCTCTCCCTCTCTCTCCTCTCTCACTCTCTTTAAAAAAAAAAAAAAAAAAAGAACAGACCCTCAGCCACAGCTCTATCATTAAATAAAGTCCCCTGTGAAGCCTCTTTCTCTGGTTCTAAAAGATGTTCCCTTGCCAAGGTGTGGGGTAGAATACAGGCAAGAAACAGTTCCTGCACAGCCCCACCCCAAAGCCTGACCTCCTGGTTTCCTTAGGAGGGAGGGAGAGAAACTGAAAACCAGTCATCCAGGTCAGAGCCCCTCCCTAGTACTTAGCAGTCGCTTCAATTTCCGCCTGGTGAAGAAGAGAAAGGGTGACTCACTTCACTCCTACAGCCTGGGAAGATAATTAGAAGGGAAAAATAAATTAAATCCTTAGAACATGGAGGTGCCCATGATTTAAATTCCTAGTATTGGCCACTATGGCCTCTTGAGCTTCTAAAAGAAATAAGCAAGTGTATCTTCCATCTAGAGTAAAAACTAAAGTAAATCATCCAGTCCCCTTGTAGCCCAGGTGTTGACCTTTTTGATCCCTCTTTTTCTTCAATTTCATTTCCAAATAAAGCAACTCACCCAATTTCTTGGGTATCTTGCCAACCTATCCCTGGACGATGAACTTTACTCCTACAACTTTCTTGATATCAACCATTTCTGTTTAAGTGTATAATCCAAAAGAGTTCCAATATCTGTTGACAAAATAAAGTCTGCCCCCACAGTAGCAGAATCTACAAGCAACACAAGTACCTCAACTTCATGAGCACTATTTGCTTCTAGATTCAGAGACCTTCTAACCTTATACTCTGCCTGAGGGAAGACCACCAAGGAGGGGCATGTGTGAGCAAAGCCTGTTCCTGCCACAGCCCATATTCTGCTTGGCTTGAGAAGAGGCTATCCATTGCTTTAGTACTTTGCCTGATTGCTGAATGATCACCCCAAATGGCCTGTCTGAATCCGATGCCTTTGATTAAAGACGAGGCTAAAGTTGAGGAAAGGAGTTGTTGGGGCTCGTTCTCAGACTATAGTAATAATCACAGAGCACCAGAAGCTAAGGGAGTGGCTATAGCCCAGAAGGCTGACTGACTCATTGATGTGATTCTCAGACCCAAACCATCCCAGGTAGAACAGGTTCTTCTGCCAACCATTCAACGTTCCTGTTTTCAAGGCCAAAAAAATTGGGAAGAAGGGGTGTTAATACATATCTAAAACCCTGTTTTCTAGCTCTCCCTAACACTTCCTATTATAAAAACCAGTGCAAATTCCTGGAAAGAAAAAATAGAGTCAAGAAGCTTTGGATTTTAATCCTGTCTCAACTGATGCTTCACTATATAGCCTTAGGTAATCCACAGGAAACTTTCAAACTTATTACTTAAGCTACATAACACAAAAATGAGGATGAAGGTAAATGTTTGAAAAATCCTTAAATTCTTCTAAAACAAACTGGATTAATACTTTGCATTCACTGGATAGAAGACTCAAGAAAACATTAATTATTACCATGGTCAATTATCATTCTAGCTCCACCTTCATTTTTAATTCCACTTCCCCAATCTGAGGTATCAGTGATTCAAAGCACTAAAAACAGACACTAAGCTCCTGAAGAACAGGCCTATGCATTCCACCCATGCCTAGCTTGTTACTTGAGTGTATGATTAGGGTTCCTTGTTGATGAGAAAAGGCTGTAATGAATGCCCCATTTCCTGTCCTTGGGATCCTAATCTAGAAACGCTTTCTTCAAGTTTCCACAGGAAGACAATTTCTCCTCTTGCAGGTGGTAAGTTTTTCTTAAAACATTTGCTTTGTGGTATTTCTATAACATAGACTCTTCAGCAACTGAGTGCTACATATGTAGGACCCGGGTACTTACTTCTAGGTGAGAAAAACAGGTGGGAAGGAAAGAAACAACCACTGCTCAATTAATGCCTTAAATCAGGAGGCTGCTCCCACTCAAATCAGATGCTAGCATCTTTTCCCTTCTTTAAAACAAAACAAAACAAAACAAAAAACAGGGAGAGCCATTGAGGTTGCCCAACTCCATGAGTAAAAGGGTTGGAAGAGGCCAGAGGCAGAAACTAAAAGGGAGCAGTACCATAGATGGTACCATCATGTACTTCTGGACGATTCTGATTTTTTTCCTACCCTTAGAGGATCACCTGAAACATTTCCTACCCTTAGGATTACCCTTAGAGGATCACCTGAAACATTACCAGGACCCCTTCCCTCCTCTTTAACTTTAGAAATGGACAAAATAAAGCACAGAATAGGGCACAATAGTACACACCTGTAATCCCAAGTTCAAGGCCAGCCTCAACAACATAACAAGGCCCTAAATAACTTAGCAAAACTCTGTCTCAAAATAAAAACTAAAAGGACTAGAGCTGTAGCTCAATAGTAAAGCATCCCTGGATCCAATCCCCAGTACCAAAAATAAATAAAAGAAACACTCACTTAACTTACAGATAGAGGAGACTTTAGAGACGAATTTGGTGATTTCAAATGGTGTTGCCAGGAGCCTTAAGGAGAGCTCAGGGGACCTCAGGAAGGAAAACAGCAAGTGGCTGAGCCTTTACACATGTCAGCCTACTATGAACCATAGGTTCCCTACTTTTGTTTTATAAACTGGGGTTCAATAGAAGGTTTCTTCTGAAACAGGGTCATACTGCTTAAATAAAATTGTCTAGGTTGACTTCCTTGTTATAGAGAGGAAGAACTGAGGTCTACAAAGGTTAACAGACTTTACCAAAAATCAGTCTCCTGATCCCCAAAAGATGCTTATCTCACTTACCTACCATTCCCCATGCCAGTCACAAAAACAGACTAAACTATGACAAGTGAGGATCTAAATACATTATCTTAAATGCAGAGGCTACAACCTAACTGGGAGGAGATGGGTTACTTTAGCAGACACTCTCATTTGAAAATAATGAAGATGAATCAAGATAGGACCCCAACCACCAAAGCTTAGGTTTTAGAACCAGACAAATTCAGTGAATAAAAGGGATCCAGCTGAGAGGAAAACCTCAACTGTTCTATTCAAAGTTCTCTAGGGCAAACTTCTCTATTTCTTTAATGACCAAACCCAACTGGTAATTTTTGCTCATAGCTTTCCTTACTTTACAAACATGGAGGGTAAATTGTTCCTAATTAGTTGACGCTTACATGCCTCCACTAATTATGTCTGCCAGCTGAAAGGGACTCTTCCTCCTATTCCCAGTCCTCGGTCCCAAAGTCATTTTCACCTGGGGCCCATACTGATGTAAGAATGGTCAATTGTAGCTTAGTGAAAAGAACAGGAGGTGGATGACAGAGTAGTTACAGATTTAAAGCCCCACCCAGGAACTGTATCAGAGACAGTCTTCCTCTTACCTCTCATAACACTATGAACTCTATTTTTGATTGTATATGGTTTTCAACAGGTAATTCTCTAAAGAATTAAACCTCAAAAGGGGTAGAACCCATGGAGGAAGTTCTTTAAAATAATGGGGTCTTGACAGATACATGCTTACAGAGGAAACACTATTATCTAAGAGAAAAGGATGAGACTTTCTAGGTGATAGAGTAATATAAAAGGTCGTTTACACATTCACAAGGCGGGTAGAGTAGACTTTAGGGAGAAAAGGGAGCCCAGAAATTGTTCTTGTGAAAACTAATGCCAGCAAGAACTTCAGTTATGACGGAAGGCTCTTCTAACTTTATATTAAAGGTAATAATTCCAAAGTGAGTCAATAATGTCCTTCAAAATTTTGTCTCCCAGGGCTTAGAGACCATGGGAGAAGAAGAGCCCCTACTTTATTGGCACCAAAGAATAAGAAGTAGGTTAAATAGCTTCAATTATCAGTTGAGGAAAAAGCCCATGTCAGGACATCTCTTTGTGGGCAAACTGGTATAACCAGCCAGGCACTTCAATGGCTCCAGATTAATAAATTAAGAACAAGGACTCAGCATGTTCTATCTCAAGAACAGACAGTTTAAAAGAGAAATCACTTACTCCTGAATATCCTAGCTTTTTCAAGGGCTTTGCCTCTTAAAGCAAAACATACTCTCCCAAATCAAGCAGGTCTAAGGGTGTCAAACTGATCTAGTACATACTCCTCCTGACTCAGCACCACAACTGCTACAAAGTATACTAAGATATGATAGAAATGTCCCTTGGTTAAAATTCTGATTCTACTCATTAGACATCAAACCAAAAATTAAAACAAGTTCTGACACTATAGACTCATCCCTCCTTATTGGTAGTTAATGCACATAGGACAGAATACTGAACATGATGAGTTTAAACAAGATAATGAAGAGAAGCTAGATAAAGAAAAGCATGCTTGCCAGGCATGATGGTACATCCCTTTAACCCCAACTCAGGAGGCTGAGGCAGGAGAATTACAAGTTTGAGGTCAGTCTAGGCAACTTAGCAAGACCCCATCTCAAAGTAAAAAGGTCTACGGATATAGCTCAGTGGTGAAGCAATCCACAATATCAAAAAACAGGCTGCCATACAACAGGGTGGCACACACCTGTAATACCAGGGACTCAAGAGACTGAGGATCACAAGTTTGAGGCCATCTCAGCAACTTAGTAAGATTCTGTCTCAAAAATAAAAAAGGTTTGGGGATGTAGCTCAGTGGTAAAACACCCCTGGGTTCAATTCCCAATAAAAAGAGAGAGAGAGAGAGAGAGAGAGAGAAAGAGGACAGGAGGAAAGCAAAGTGGAAAAAGAAAGCAAAAGAGGGAAAAAGGAAAGAAGAACAGGGTCTCTGGGTCTTCGAGGGATTTGGCAAGTATGATCAGGTTACAGAGCTGGGGGCCAAAAAAAAAAAATCTTTCTCTACACTTCAAAGGAAGAGGTAAACCAGATATGTGGGGGTAGCCCCTCAGGAGGCTGAGGCAAAAAGATCCCAAGTTCGAGGCCAGTCTCAGCATTTCAGTAAGGCTCTAAGCATTTTAGCAAGACCCTGTCTCAAAATAAAAAAATAAAAGGACCGGGGATGTGGCTCAGTGGTTGAGCATCTCTGGGTTTGATCCTTGTTACAAAAAAAAAAAAAAAAAAAAAGGGTAAAAACAAAGCTGATACTCATTTGTTAATGATTAGTTTCTTGTTTAAAAACTTGATAGGAATACATTGGTAACACTTTGCTAACTCTTTTGACTAAGTGACCCACATTTTAAAGAATTCTTTTTGGTATCTGAAATTCCTTCCCTCCTATCAGATTTGCTTTCTGTGTAACTGTCTTCACCCCAACAATTCTGCTTCAGTGAGTTCAAACTGCTTTTATTCCCTATCACTTCAATTCATTCTTCTCAGCTACCTCACATTGCTCTGAATAGCACCTCATAATTAGGTTTGAACCTGAACCATGTCAAAGTGATCTCCCCAAAAGACCTAGCATGCTCTCATGGTTCGAAGAGCTGCAGCTAGAGTGCCAACTCAATGACTTAACAATTCAAGGTTCAGAAGGCTGGCGCAAATTTATAAACTGGAAAGAGCAAAGAAGCTCACTAGGGGATTGACAGCTATAATAATGAGGGTAAAAGAAGGGTAAACCACTCATTCTCCTCCTGTAAAAAGTAGAGGAATCAATTCTGAAGATGCTAAGTGGGAATGAGGCAGATCCTAGATCCTAAATGGGATTTTTTGTGTGTGTGTGTGGTGCTGGGTATTGAATCTAGGGCTTCCTATATATTAGGCACATGCTCTAACACTAAACTATATCCCCAGCCCCGTAAGTGGGAAATCTTTCAATTCCAACTGCTTTTCCCAACAGGACAAAAGATCAGAAAAAATTACTCTCATTCTCTTCAGTGGGAACTAATATAGAATGACTAGGGCTCTCTTCCTAAATAAAGCCTATCCTTTGAAATTAGGGATGTTAATTCAGTGAAAGAGTGCTTGCCTAGCACACGTGAGGCCCTGGTTTCAAACCCCAGTACTGCAAAAAATAAAAGAGGCTGCCCTTTCCCAGTGGTCTTCCCTTCTCCAGACTTAAGGCTTAAATAACTTTGTTAACAACAAGAAGCACTAAATGCCAAAACTATACCGTTGGTATATCTTATAAATCAATTCTGAAATTCTCCAGCACTCAGTTTCTGCAATCTCAAACCTAAGCTTGACATCCTTGAGAAAAACCATTATAATTTCAGAAGACTGTAGTCTGAGTCTTTCTCTCTCACAAACTCGATTGCTTAAGCTGCTTCAACAAGCATCTCTGGGGTTTCCTCCCACTTCCTTCCTAGTTTAGGATCAATTAATGATGGAGAAGGGTGGAAAACATGAAGACATTTATGATTCCAAAGGAAGGGAGAAAGGAGAAAGTAGAAAATTCAACAAATTTTAACAACTTTTCTTACATATCTCTGGGACTTGGATTTCCCTGTATCAGACACCAAGCACTCTCAGTCACTTAACTTTGCAAGTAACTAGCAAAGCTCAAAAAGACATACTCTGTCACCTCCCATAAATGCCTCCCATCCCCCCAATACCACCGCTGGGAGAAAACTCACGTAAAGGCAAAGAAGAGTGTGGTGGCTCCCACTAAGAAGATGGCAGCTGCTGAGACCGGGACATACTTGCTGGGTTTGAACCTCTTTCCAGACTCTGCGGGCATGTTGGAGCTCTGATGGGAGATCCGCCCTGCCGCATAGCCCAGGCCCACACAGCGGCAGAACAGACAAGAAAATGGGATGAGGGAAACAATAGAAAGAAAGGAAACCAGGGAAAACAGAAAATTTAAAATTATCACCCTTCCCCCTCCCAAATAAAACTGAAAGTCAAAAGATCTCAAATGAGGGAAAGCACATGGGAGGGGGAAAGGTGATTTCAAATGATGAATAACCACCTCCCCAGAACAAAGCAGAAGGGAAAATTAAAAAACAACTTGTACAGTTCTAAAATTGAAGACAAACAGAAGGCTGTACACATGCAAATGTTGCAGGTGGAGAACATGGACAGTCAGAGATCAAGATATAGCTCATAGATGGAGGCAGGTCTTCATAAGGAAAGAGGGGGAAAATATCAGGGCAGGGCAGAAAATGTTAGGCAAGGAAAAATTCTTCTGAGGAGATACAAAAGTACCTCCACGACTACCACACTTCCACAAAATATGAGCTGCACCTAAAAGGTGCGCCCAGGGTTTCTATTTTAATCCAAGACGGAAACTGGGCCCCTTCCAGCTTTAAAGAGAAGTTGTCTCTATTGCAGTCCTTGTCCCTTTTAGGCAGTCTTCTCAATGCCACCACTCCCACACCTTGACTGCACCAGAGCTTGTAATCTGGCAATGGTGGTTTAATTTTATTTATTTCTCTCTTGGTGGCCAAAGCTGGACAACAGCTGTTATAAGGTTGAGTTGTAAATCCTTTTCTTTGAAGTGGGAGGGAAAATAGAGAGCAAGCTTGTCAGTCTTCAATCTCTTCTTGTTATTCCCAAGCCCTTTAAGGGCTCCGTTTCCTACAGAATTCATGCAAAACTAAAGGGAAACTTAAAATCCTTGAAGTCATGTTTTTCCTAATAAGCAGAATGAAATGAAAAAATTAATTCCACTTGTTGATACTTTAAATGATTACTGTAGATAAAACCAAGTTCCAAAGATGTTCCCGTTTCCAGGTTAGTCAATGTCTCTGATCTTTCTTCTTCAATCTTGGGCTTTCCAGATGCAGAGTTCAACTTTGTTATGGTGCCTCACCTGTAGAAATACAAATACCTTTAATCAAAGAAATTCTTTCAGGGCCTTTCTTAAGAGCCTCAGGCTAAAACCCCACCAGATACTCTGTTAAAAAGTGCTTTTTAAACAGCATGCGGCTGGGGAGGCTGAGGCAGGAAGATCTCAAGTTCAAAGTCAGCCTCAGCAATTTAGCAAGGCCCTAAGCAACCCAGAGACCCAATCTCTAAATAAAATTTTAAAAAGGACCGGGAGATATGGCTCAGTGGTTAAGCACCCTTGGGTTCAATCTCAGGTATTAAAAAAAAAAAAAAAAAAGGCGGGGGGGGGGCCGCGGGCGTTGAGAGAAAGATTACTTTCTACTTCACTTAACATGTGGGAAAGGACTCTGAATTGGGAAGAAAATGAATTCAGAATCCTTCACTTATTCTATGTGCTGTTCAGATTGGAAGGAGAACATGGCTTTATCTGGTCTAAGGTTATCAAAGGACTAGCTTCGGTAAGGGGCCCATCTTACCTTACATAAATGGGCAGTAATAAATATCAAGAATATAAAAATCTAAAAACAAATAAGGGCACAACAGTGAAGGGCAGTAGTCCTAAAATAGATATTCCTCTTTAGACAAATAGAGTATTTATTACTACAATGAAAAATGTTACTTCAGAATTAGGATAACAAATCTCATTTCCTTTCTGTGTCTCTTTCTTACTCCTCTTTGCTTTTTTAGCATATACTAAATGCTCAATGACAGAGGCAAAAGCTGAATTTGTACTCTTCTGAAATCACCTTTTAATGAGGGACCTGAGCAAGAAATGTTCTTACATTAAAAGGTGAGATGTCCTCTCTGAGAAACTTGGTCTACCATGGGAGTTGGTCCCTTTTTTCCCAATTCAATAATTTATTCCTACATTGGCCTATTAGGAAGTAAACTCAGCCCCCCTACACCTGATATAATTAATAGATATAACTGGGTGGGGGAATGTTGTTCAGTGGAAGAGCATTTACCTAGTATGCTGGAGGACCTGCCACTCCAACACCTAAAGTAAAAAATAAAACTAAAAAAAGTAACAATTATTTTTGTTGATGTTAGTAGCAAAATAACATCAGCACCTTGTTTTTCATCTGGATTCATCTCAAAGTACTTTACTCAAATTATCTGGTGACACAGTCCCTTATCCCACTGTAAAATTGAAGGGTAGAGAATGCCTAAGGTCATTCCACTGAATCATCTGAGCAATCAGGTTCAGAACCCAAGAGTTCACATGCCCCTTTGCTGACACAAACTCCTTCTCCCTCTTTCTCATTCAATATTCCACATGCCCAATGGTAATAAATTGAAATCTACAAATCAAAAATTTTATTTAAGTTAGAATTCTGAAACAAAGCAGTCTCATTCCCCTCAGTCTACCATTTAATACCAAAGGAAAAGATGAAAAATATCAGAAGACTCAGATAGTAAAATACAAACATGACCTGGAATTTATCATTTCTTCTCTCACCTGTGGCACGGAAGGCAAAGGTGCCTTCCTTTAAGATTCATCATCTTTCTTTAAAGATAGGACTTCAGAGGTTCAAATAGCAATATTAAAATGGAATTAAGACCCAGAGATTACAAGAAATTATTATATTCCTAAAATAGATCCTCTTTAGTCCCTTATTTTATGATTACTTAATCCTCTGTTTCCTATAAAAAAAATAAAGTCCAAACTTGTGACTTAAGGCTTAAATAATTCTGTTAACAAGAAGCAAGTTCTTTTTTTTATTTTTGAGGTGCAGGGGATTGAACCCAGGGCCTTGTGCATGCAAGGTAAGCACTCTACCAACTGAGCTATATCCCCAGCCTAAGAAGCAAATTCTTCATTTGTAGACAGCAGTACTATTAAAGCAAATGTTTCCCTCAAAACCCCCAAAATTAGAGAAGATGGAAAATTACACTACTTTAATTTTATCTAGAGTAGGAGATCATTTAAACATCATAAATTATTTTTAAATTTTATTTATTTAGTCTTTAGAAATCGTGTATTATTGCAGATTATATTTTCCATAGGAAAAAAAAAAGTGGGCTAATACTGCCAGAGTAATGCAGAGTCATAAAAGGCCATGAAATTTTGGAAGTAAATACTGGGATACAAAAGAGATTAGCATCTGAGTTGTTTAGGAGTTGTACATTAAAAGAGACAAGATAAAACCTAGGAATGTATTGGGTATAAAGGCACACCAAGTCTTAGCAGAAGGACATGCTGCAGTAGTAGAGATGAGATCAGAAGGGTATGGTTCAAGAGAGCCAACAATTTGGATCCACACCAGCACCAAAAAGTGTACAAGAATGTCTATCAGTCCGGCAAAGAGTAATGTATGAAAGGGAAATATGTATATAGGTAAAACAACATAGATATGTAGTTTGAAGGTTTTAATAAAGTTTAATATGAGTACTTCCTTAAAGAAGTCAATGGATATAAGCTGTACCACTGACAACACAAGTAATGTTTGTTAAAATAAATTAGGTAATAGTATAAGACAGTAAATACAAAGTATCAGATGCCATGGAATAATTCACATTAAGATATCAGAGAAAGATCCAACCAGAAGTTTAAAATGAGTGCGCTATCTTTATACATTGAGGTAGCAAAGCACATGGCAAAACAATTTTTATAAACATTAAACAGGTTGTGGTGACCCACATCTACATCTTTAATCTTTAAACTTGGGAGGCTGAAGCAGGAGAATCCCAAGTCCGAGGCCAGTCTCAGCAACTTAAGAGGCCCTCAGCAACTTTGCGGGACCCTATGTCTAAATAAGTAAATAAATAAATAAATAAAACATTAGGCAGGTTTTATAGAATAGGTGACAATGAGCATTCTAAAGAGATGTGATTCAGGACAGAGGGATGCTGGGATGAAAGAAGGGGGATATAAACATAAGGTTAACTTGGTCAAGAAGGCATTAACCAGGAAGTGAAAAATCCAAGGCAGAAAAATTGTCAACAGTATAAAATACATAATATATATTTGATATTACAACTGCTTTCAATAACTTTAAGTCACTTTCTTACTACTCATTTCGGGTTTTCATTTGGCCAAATGGACAAAACACTTTCCCTGCCCCACAAAGAGATTCCTATAGGTAAAATACTGGCAAACACATTCGAAGTACACTTGCAAAAAGTACTTAGTACTAGAAGCATAAAGCACCCCGTTAGTGGGGGTAGGGGGAGGAAGCAGACCGGTGGGAGAGAAGAGGTAACAGGATGAAGCTTGAGCCAAAATAAGTATCAGCAGAGTAAGGCGAAAAGACCCAAGCTGCAGTGTTTGTAAAAGGGGAACAGCACCGGGTCCCCACGGCCGGGCTGGAGCAAGGAGAATCACCGTACGGGGCAGAACTGACCACCACTGAGCCCGAAAAGACGGAATCCCACGGCGGCAGGGCCCACCGGTGCTGAGGGAGCGGGCTACCAGGGGACAGCCCGGGCCGGGGGCGCCGGGCCGGGGGCGGAAGGGGCGGCGGCTGGGTACCAGGCGCTGAGGACCAGGTCCGGAGCCTGGCGGCCCAGCTGTAACCCGTTCCGAGCCCCAGCAGGCACAGATTCCCGGCCTCTACTCGTCGTCCGTTTCGGGGCCCACGGGTCCTGCTGCGGACCGATGACCCGGCCGGGAGGAGGGCTGGGGCCTCAACCCCCTCCCCCTCCTAAGTCCCCCTTCCCTAGAGGTCACTCTCCCCTCCCACCTCACAGGCCCGGCACTTCCGGTTCCGCAGGGGCCAGTGTCCCCGGTACTCACCCCCGGCGCGGTGCCCGTCTCCGCCGCCGTCGTTGTCACCACCGCCTCTCGGCAGCGCCGTCCGGCCTCTGAGAGGCAGCGCGCGGCCCCCGCACGCTCCACGCCCGCCCCGCTCCCGCGCGCTCCCGCCCGGCGACGCTCGTCTTCCAGCCGGCGCGCGGCCGTTGCCCTCAGTGCCGGTTCTCAAGCCCTCCCGGCATTCCCATTGGTTCCCTGGCCCGGGCGCGCGCGACGTCTCGCGCGGAGCACGTTCCTCTCATTCATGCGGCTCGCGCCGCCGTGCCCGCCCCCGCTCACTCTCCCATTCACCCGTAGCCCCCACCCCCACTGCGCTCTGGGGCGTGCGCGCGAACCGAGGCGACCGCGGCGACCTCGCGTTCTGATTGGCTGCAGGAGCACAGCGCCGCAGGCACGCAGAGAAGCGGGAACGCGCGCGCAAGGTAGTCGGGCTCCGCCGACGACGGCTAAAGGGTGATTGGCGAATTGCGCAGGAGTCAGGAATGAGGAAACGGCCAGGCGAGTCCTCCTTTTTCTTTCGTCCTATTTTCTATTCCTGCTGTAATCAAGCAGAAAACTTTGGAAATTAAAAATATATATATCGTGCGTGTGTATAGAAGCGCTCAAAAGCAAATAACTACCCTCTCCAATTCGCCAAACCCCTCCAAGTAAGTGTGGTACAGTCCAGACAGGCTTCTAGAGCAACCAATTACCAATAGGTCTCTCAGTCTTCCTGCTTCGCCCCTTCACGCATTGGCCAACGATGAGGTGACTAAGTAGGCCTCCTCCTCCACCATCCGTTTTTGTTTTTTGGGTTTTTTTCCCCCTAATGGCCAAAACTTTATGTAAAACGATCTTGCTGGGTAAGTCTTCGGTCCCTCAAGTTCCATGGTCCCAGAAGAATTCCTGGGTAGTGGAATGGTCTGGGCTGTGGCTCTCACATGGAGGGGGGCGCCCCAACTAGAAGAGCCAGTGTAGGGTGAGGCTCCTGTTAAGGTCCGGGGATGGAGATGAAGGAGAGCGGGCGCCAGCCTTGGCAGGGAAGTGCAGGGAGTGCATGCGATCTGAGCCGGCTGTTGATTTCTGTAGTTCCTTCACTGCAGCACCAGAGATGGGCAACTGCATCCCTGACCTCACCCAATTTGAGAACACAGGCAGAAAAGATTTTCTAGAATAGCTACTGTCCCTGGCGAGCTGCTGGCCGACTCTCCGTAGATCACAGTGCTACACTTTGCCCTAATTAGCCCAAGACAGCTGTGAACCCAATAGCAATGCCACATGCTGTCTCCTTCAACTCGAGGCCGGTTCTCATTTGAAGCAGCTTTGGCTATTACATAATAGCCCTTCAAAAAAAGTGCCCCAGCAGCCAATTCTCTGAGGCCAAGGTTCCCGATGTGTCAAATATGATCAATCCTGCTGTGGCCTCGGATTTGGTTTCAATGTTAGTGGTTTAACGGTGGTTCTGACACTTTAGCATTAGACAGCAAGGTAAAGGAGAAGTCTGCCTCATGTTTAATAGGGACTAGCTTAGTTCCTTCTCTGACATGACATACATATCAATTTTGGTTCATTCTTGTGTTACAGGTTTCAGTCCACATAATGCAATACACTCAAGAGTTCTTTTTTTAAATCTTTAAATCATAAAATATATATTATTGGAGACAATTCTTACATCTTCTGCCTCTTCATGTTCTTAAGATGAAGTCAAACTTCATTCTTCTGTTGTATATTTTTCTTGGATTTTAAAACTTTATTTCCAATACTTCACAAATTAGGCATTTTTATTTTCCTGCTTTCAACTAAGAACCTGTAAATAGTGATAACTCTTGGCTAGACAGGGCTCAATGGAAAAAAGTCAGCCTTCCACCATGCAACCACAGGTACTGAACTCCTCTGGGTCAATAAGAACATTAAACTATTCTCCATTACCAACTCATTTTTAGCTGGAGGAGCACTAACAGAGGCATCTCCTAAAGTTTGGAGAGAGATTCTATTTTCTTGCCCAGTTAGGAATCATGCAAAGTACATCCTAGAAAGGATATTTCATAGAATATAATGTTAACCTGCTGGCCACTTCTGAAAAGTAATCCAGACTGAAATCTAGGCTAAAACAATTAGATATAGCCAGATCATTATACTTGAAATATATTACTTTGATATATCTACCAGTTGTTTTTCATGTTTTAAGTTTTTATTCCTGGGCTGGCAATGTGGGTCAGTGGTATAGCACTTGCCTAGCATGTTCAAAGCCCTGGATTCAATCCAGAGCTTGACAACAAAAGAAAAAACTTATTCCTTATAGTTTTTCTAATGTGGCTTATGTTTATTGAACCTTCTTCATTTGCATTTTCTTGTGCCTATAGATCGCAAACCACAGGGTCACTTTTAGTTCAACTCCACAGAGAAGAATGCCCTATCTGAGTTCAATACCTAGATCTCCCACCCACTGGGGGGAAAAAAATCTCTCCCTGTGATAAAGGACAATCCTCTCCTATGTGCTGAATCCCATCCCTTGCACATCTGCTTTTTCTTCCTAATTTTGACATGTTACTTGAAAATTTTAAATATGCAGAAAAAAATACTGCCAAAAATACCATCCATCATTAATTTCTCTCCATCTAGGCTGTGGAGAGGCATCATCCTATCTAAAAAAACTAACACTTCCTCCACCTCCCCATGCCCTTTCTTCGCAAAGCTTGAAAGACTAGTCTTTTTTTTTTTTTTTTTTTTTTTGTACCAGGAATTGAACCCAGGTACTTAATCACTGAGCTACGTCCCCAGTTCTTTTTTTTTTTCTTCTTTTTTTGGTAGTTGTAGATGGACAGCATGCCTTTATTTTTATACCATGCTAAAGATTGAACCCAGTGCCTCACATAAGCTACACAAGCGCTTTACAACTGAGATAAACCCCAGCCCTCCCCAGTTCATTTTTAATTTGAAGCAGAGCCTCACTGAATTCTTTAGGACTTCACTAAGTTGCTGAGGCTGGTTTGAACTCACAAGGCTCCTACCTAAGCCTCCTGAGTTGCAGGGTTTACAGGTATGCACCATTGCACCTGGCGTTGTCTGTAGTTCTTTACTTCCTCAGTTCATATTATCTCTTCATTCTATTTCAGTAGGGCTTTTATCTCCCACCATTCCAACATTTATCTTTTCAAAGTAAATACTGAAATAACATTAGTGCTTCTAGATCCATAGTGAAGTCTCCTTTGCTAGCTCCTAGTATGCCCCCCCATCTTTTTTTTTTTTTTTGTAGTGCTGGGGATCCAACCTAGGCCTTGTACATGCTAGAATTAAGAGCTTGACCTATATCCACAGCCCATGCTTGGGCTCTTCATTCTATCCTTTGCTTTTTCTCATTTCAGTCTTAAATTACTTGATCCAATAATGCTGCTTTAAATGCTCTCTATATTGCCAGCAGCTTTCATGAACCTTCATCCTTAATTTTCCTAACTCTTCATACTCTAGCCATTTGTTATATCTCTATACAAATGACTAATAGCTCAAACTTTAACAATACCAAAACACTCTTTTATTATTCCCTTGCTCCCTCCTTAGGTTTCCCTAATCATATAACCAATCTAGTTGACACATTATACATACCTGGAGTATAACTTACTCTAATTAGGATTACATTCTTGTGGTTGTAGATGATAAGAGTTTTACTGTGGTGTACTCATGTATGAACTTAGGAAAGTTATGTCCATCACCCTGATTTATATAAAAGCCCTACATTATCTGGTCTTTGCTGCCCCTTCAAGCCTCATCTTTTACTGCTTTGCCTTGGTTCCCCCTACACTCTCAACTACACTGGCTGTTTTTTTCACCCGATTCACTAAGTTCATTCCTTTCTTAGGGTTTTACATTGTTCCTCTACCAAGGTTTTTGTTGAAAGCATAATTTAGCCATTCAGGTCTTACTCAGAATGTGTCCTCTGGAAATCTTTCCTGACCACCCAATCTATAGTAACCTCCCTTTATCACTACCTTATCACCAAATTACCACTGACTTACGTCCTCAGCCCTTTTTATTTTTGAGTTTGAAACAGGATATAGGTTGCTCAGATGAGCCTTGAACTTGAAATCCTCCTGCCTCAGCTTCCCAAGTTGTTGGAATTACAGGCCTGCACCACAGTGCCCAGCTTTATATTAGCCAAATTTAAACCTCTATATAGCACTTGCCTTTTTAAATTTGCTTATCCTTTACAATAAGCTCCTTAAAACTTTATCATGTTTTCCACCTAGAATGGTTCCTGGCAGAATAGATTTGTGGAATAACCTACATATTTGTGGAAAGAAGGAGTGGCTGAATGCCATCAGATACATAAGTAATCCAAGCCCAAACTAGGGACACCAGTCATTTGCAGGAAATCAAAATGGGCTTTCCCAGCTTCTTACCATACCACCTGTTACACTTTGAGTTAGGTCCTGGTTCCAATCAAATGGATAACAGGGAAAAAAAAAAAAAAAAAACCTAACTGTATTGGAGAGAAAAAAGCTACCACCAGGAAATTAGATCTGAAATTTCATCCCATTGATTATCACCAGCCTCTTTCATTCCCCAGAGTAAATCCAGCACTAAACAATAGATTGACCATTTATTTACCTAAATGCTAAGGGAACCATCATAAAAACTCACTTGCTTGGGGCTGGGGTTGTGGCTCAGTGGCAGAGTGCTTGCCTCGCACATGTGAGGCACTGGGTTCAATCCTTAGCACCACATGAAAATCAATAAACAACAACAAAAAAACTCACTTGCTTGACTTACAGGTTAGGTTCTTGATTTTTCTTTCTCTAAGATTTGAGCAGTAAATCATTCCAATAACATTCCTATAACACTTAAAGAAAAAATAAAAAATTTAAAAATTACACCAACTTCTATGAGATAAAAATATTTATTAAAAACTTTTTAAATTTGAAGTTTGTTGAAAGGAGTTCCTCTAAATTCATACTTTCATACTGGATAAATGAGACAGCAAGTATTATATATGGAATATAAAGTGACTTTAAAAAATCTATATGGTAGTAAAGTGAAAGAAATGTAATTCTCCAGGGTCTTAAGAGAATTTGAAGTAGCATCTTAGGTGATCTAACAATTATATTTTCATGGTTCTCATGGCTCTCCTTTTGGTT